TATAACGGTTTTTGGGATGAAACAATAAATGCAGTAAGCTCGGCATAATATAAAAACACACAAACCCAGGGGAAGTCTACAAGCAGGCATTTTGCTTCCCTCCCACCTGCCTCCCGGTTCCTTAGGATCAAAAAACAATATATGTTGTTTTTGGGCTTTTTGTTACAATGTTTTGTGTCTTGTGAATAAGATCTGGACAGGTTAAGGACACATGTTAGAACATTTTTCTTTTTTTTTCTACCTTTCAATCTTAAGAATAAGCATTTAGTAATTTTTATTCATATTTATCAGGAGGAAGAGGAGAAGGAGAAGAGCAAGAGGAGGGAAAAGGGAAGGGGAAGGAAGATAAAGAGAGAGATCAACAGCTCTTTTTTTGATTAATGAATACAATTGAATTAGACATTAATATTAATTGAATTGTTGTTTTTTAATAGCATGTGTGTGAATTAATTGTATTTTTTGTATTTGTTTTTAATATTGCATGAAAAACAATTGTGAAATAAAAATGATATTTTTTAAAAAACTCTCAGAAGTTTTGAGGTTACTGGGGTCCAGGGTGGGTTATTTTGAATGTTAAAGTTCCCAAAAATTAGAGAAGGAATATGTAGCGGAGAGGTAGTAAATAAATACAGCATACAATAATCCCGGTAGCGTTGTAAGAATCCTTCCTTCCCAAGAACTAGACGACACATAGGCTGGGAGTCAACTGAGGTTTTATTCACAGGTCACAGTATTTATGCAAGTCCCCATGCAAGGGGTTTCCCTACTGACATTGCAGGGGTTGTACAGTAGGGGACTACATGGGGGACTTAACAACCTGGACATTTCTCCCATCATGCACTGCTGGACGAGAGGGATACTCCCACTAGAATATACAGTTAAGTGGATTATCCCTCCGTGCAGCAGAACCAATATTTCACATTAAAATATAAAACTTTCACATTATTCACTCTATTTAAACGAATGGACGTTCGGTAGATAGCTGGGGTCTGAGCGTACAGTTCGTGAGCATACCGCTCAGATCCCAGCATAACTAACCGAACGCCGCGCGAAACACACATTATATTCAAGTTACATTCAAAGTACTGATTGACATTAGGGGAACAAACTACCGAACGATCGGGGCTCCCGAACGGCCTGGAAGTCCAGTGGTATTCGTGGCGTTGAGGAGCCGATTTTAGTTCTAGGCGCTCGACGACCAAATACCGCTGGGCTAACAAAGGATCCAAGATGGCCGACCGCCGCGTGGTCGGTAGCCGAACGACGGCCACCTAGGAAAGCACTTAACTACTGATTGCAACAATGTTGCAATCGGTTAATGGGCACCACACGACCTCCTGTGTGTGGTCGCCCATTCGGTAGATTATTCGTTTCACGAACAGTGTTGAAATACACTGTTCGTGAAACTACGATATGAATGCTGGTGGCTTCCATGCCGCCAGCATACGAATGCTCTTGTTCGCCTGAAATACAGATACCTGAATACACTTGGTTCTAACAAACTTAAAGCTATAGAAACACATGTATACAAATACAGTCTTAAGTGGCTAGTTTTGCCACATATATATCTATATATACAATATCTGGGCTGTATAGCATGGTATCCAGCAATACAAAAAAAAATATATATATATATATTTATTACACACACAATACATGGGCTGTATAGCATGGTATCCAGCAATACTAGATATACAATACCTGGGCTGTATAGCATGGTAAAAGTAAAAAGTTTCCGTTCGTGTATTTGAACTGTATGGTTCGGGAACCGAACAGCCGCATGAAACGGAGACCACCCGTGAGCTTTTTAAGCATAATTGCAACTTTGTAACAAATTCCACCACAGTGTTCTAAGTGTTCGTCTGGGTGGCCGCATTTCCTATGGACATGGGACCATGCATGCGTGCGGTCGGTCAAATTATGACTTCCTGGAAATTCCTGAACCGATCTGGGTGATTTTTGGATATGTTTGTCACCCAGATCGGGGCTATCAGGGGATGTAGCGGGGGGGTTTTGTAAAAATGTATGTTTTCTGTGCCTGGAGATAATTGTGTTTTTAATATAGTGCTGACACAATTATCTCCCAGGCACTGGGGAGGGATTGACCTATTTTCTATGGGAGTGTCCTGAACCTCAGAAACAATGTAAACGTGTGTTTGTTTTTTTACTGTAGTCTACACTCAGGTCCCTTTATGCTGGGACTGTGAATGGTAATTCTAGAGGTGCATGGACAGGCAGGTGGGCAGAATTTATAGCTTGGTGTAACTGGGCATGTATGATATCAGGCAAACAAGCTGAGAATTCCCTGTTCTCTGGGTCAATATATACCACTTTGGTGTAACATGAAAACAGTTTATTTATTTTTTTTGGATCTAATATGGCAGAAGAAACCATGTAATTCCATTAGGGTAAGACTGGGTATATGGGACAGTGTGTTTCACTTAGCTGTAAGAGACCTAACTGGGCAATTTGTATTGGATGAGTGACGTTTTGCAGACAGTGCTTTGCTTTATAATTTTATATTTAAAACAAGAAGGTTAAAGTACTTAAGGTTGTGGATAGCATGGAAATATGATGGCATTTTACACAGTTGGAAACGCAGATAATGCTTGAAGCAGTTTGCCGAAATAAGGGAATAAACACTGTTTTATAGACCTCTGAAAGTAAAGCCACAGTCTGTACCTGAACAGCACAAATATTTCATTTATAACTGGAGAAGCAAATGGATTTTTTTTTCACTGCTGCTATGCGGGTTCTGTATAAATAAAAATGTAAATGCAAAGGTCTAAATTTGACTCAAACACCAGGAACACATCATTATTACCATATCTATTGCTCCTCTTGTAGAATTTTGGTATTGCATTATTCTTTGAGACGCACATAGTGTATTATTGTCTCTGGTTTCCAGCTGTAAAATACTTTTTTGTATTTTTGTAGTCAAGCTTGGTGTGTTTTGCATTAACACTCCTAAAATGCTGTATAATAGATTATACCATGCAATAATGTGATAATTATAGAGAGGAAAAGAACTGGCGCTGGACCTGTTAATGTGTGGATCGGAACAAGTATGTTTACTTTTTATAATTTTATCTAGAACTTTATGGATGTATGGCGTTTAACTTTTTAATTGTGTTTATTCACTAAAATTGGAATTGTGGAGAAGTGATTAAGGAACTTGAAGTTTTAGGCCCAAAGAAATCAGCTGGGAAAGAAACATGATAATAAAAGGAAATGAGAGAAATGGGGAGTGAAAGAAGAAGTGTTAAAGCGAAACTATCTCCAGGCTTGTGATATCTATTCATAGACTATATTTTGGTTCTCCAGCGCAAATTACATTACTTAAATGCACAATTGTCTTCAATGATACATCTAAGATGGAATCGTTCCTTTAATTTGGCTCCTAGTAAAATGTATCTGATGGGCTTGGCAATCTGGACCGTGTTGGCTCTTTAAAAAAGAAAAAAAACAACAACTTTGAATGGTACAGTTCCTTGGCTTTTGTTCTTACATTTTATTTTTGCTTTCTAGTCTCCTTTAGGTCTATATCTTTCCTTAAAATACATGTATCCTCTCTCAAAATTGATTTTTTTTTTTTGCTTGTATGATTTACTTTATCTCTTGCCTATGTGACTGTCCACAGCAACCACACTAACCTTGATTGCTGAGTCAGGAAAGAAAGACTTGTGTCAGTGAGCTGCTGTTTTCAATCATGGATTTCCCAGGAACATCCAGGAGGATCCCCGCGTGGAAAAGATGGGTTTCTCAATATACACACCATCATCTTGCTGTCTTTCTTCTGACCTTCTTCAGGTAGGGATTACAATGTGTGCTCCCTGCACTGTATCTGTTTTACACTACAGTACACACTTTTGCACTTGCATCTTGAGCTTTATACTGTACATGGATAAATATTCATACATGCGTTCATGCAAACATAGACATTCACATTCTTCAGACACTTAGATACACCCACTCATGCATACAGCTGTGTATATTCACACACTGGAAGGATGTAGGATTATATCACTACCTCCATGCTGTGGACATGCATATGTTCCACTGAAAAGCATGGGGAGCTTTGAAGCTGTTTCTGTTGCCTGAGCATGCAGAGACAGCTTTCTGTCTTCTAGACCATGGGGCTTTGCATCAGAGATATTTCATTTCCCTGATCAATTGGGACACATTTTTCTGCAGCAGTTCCAATTTTTGTGCTACCACACTGATATAAAAGCAGTGATCTGTGAAACCCTGGTTTAGGACCAGCATTTGTTTAGGGATTTCACTGTGCCCTGAATGCTGTCTGTAGCAGAGTAGTAGTATTATCCACGGTATCTCCGCTAGTAGACAGAATAAAACAGGTACAAAGCAGGCAAAATCCAGGTAGCGTAGTTACAATCCCTTTCTCCCAATAACTAGACGACACATAGCTTGGAAGTCAGCTGAGTTTTTTGTAATTACAGGCACAGTATTTATGTGGTTACAATTGTATGGGGTTTCCCGAGTCACAATGCAGGGTTTGTCCAGTAGGGGACTACATGGGGGACTGAGTTTTTGACAGAGTACCCAGCATACATTGCTGTACCAAGGAGATAATATACCCAGAATGCATTGCTAATGGGATTATCCCTTGGTACAGAGAAATACAGTTTTCATATTAAAATCCATAACCAACATAATATTTGTGCTAGACAGCTATTTAACCATTTATTACATAGTTGGGACCTGGGCGCACAGTTAAGGGAACTTGCGCTCAGATCCCAGCACAAATAACTGAACGCGGTTCAGTTTCCTTTATCAGGACCACTTTGTTTAACCGATTGCCTGAACTGAGGGAATGAAAGTCCCGAAACGGCAAACTCCCGAACGGCTCGGAAGTCCAGCGGGGCTTGTGTTGCCGAGTAGCCGATTTTAGTTCCAGGCACTCGACGACAAAACGCTGGTTTTCCGCGAACAAAGATGGCCGCCACCTCGTGTTCGGTACACGAATGGCGTCCACCCGCAACAGACCTTAATCAGCACAGATACGATGTTGCAAAGTACCTAATTGGAGACACGCAACCTGCTATGGGTGGTCTCCCATTCGGTACTTTGCTTATTCTACGAACAGTGTGGTGATTCACTGTTCGTGGATAACCAGACTTAACATTAGCGGTATTCGTGTGTTGTAACACACGAATGCCGCATACATTGCACAATACAGATAACAGTGGCAGAAATATACAGTTTGCTTAAATATACTGTTTAAGTCTATAAGTGGCTAGATTTGCCACACTGTCTTTTGTGATAGTTTCCTGTAAAGCCACCAATCTTGATAAGCTCCCAATCTCATAATTTTATTTTTCTTCACTTGGATCTGTGTTTAGGAATTGTCTACTTGAACAAGAACACTTTGATAAAGCAGAATTAGCAAAATACTGTTTTCAATTGTTGTGCCATTTGTTACATTTAACCTCTATGTTCATATGCTTTTTATTATTTAGTTATGCACTCCTTCATGCATCTAGAAAATCCTTCAGTAATGTGAAAGTCAGCATATCCAGCCAATGGACTCCATCAAACTTTAATAGCTCGGAGGGTCTGTTCCCAAACGAGGTGAGTTCTTTACTAGAATTAAGTGACATAATTTATACTTTTGCTTCAATGGTAGAGGATATTGATGCACACAGCCTATCTGGCGTAAAAGTAGCCTTTAGCCTTGTACACAAAGCTTGTAGCAGTAAAGAAAGTAGTTTATTTACTACTCCACAACGCTTTTCAGTGACTGCTGATCTGGCTGCAAGTATGTTCACGAAGTATCACACACATACTGTTGTGCTCTTTTGTTGTTGCTGCTGTTATCGTAGTACAGTGACAAGACATGCATGTTTTGTGAAATTGGTACAGGTGATAACTACCACATTAAAAAAAAAAAAGGCAAGGAATAATATCAGCAGCCCAGAAAGCCAGCATGCTTCAGTCTGAAACATTAATGATAATGCAGTACATAAGATGGCATTGCTTTCATATGTATATTCCCCAGAATAAGTGCACAATTCTAATATTATATTTACTTTTCTCTACCAAAGATAATATGGCTCTTTAAAGGGTTACTCAAAGTATCTTGACCACTTCAGTGATTTGAAGTGGCCGTGGTGCTCAGAATGTTAATGTCCAGAGTTTCAGTATCAGTATGTACAGAGACATGCGATGACACTGCTGGATGTGTAATTTCACCACTGTCTGCATCATTAGTTTGCTCTCCCTACAGTGAGGGAGAATATATGCTTTTCTTTCTTTTTTTAAAGGGATGCCAGCAATGATTACTTAAACTTTTATAAACACTATTTTAGTTTGGATTAACCCTTTAAAGGAAAGTTTTTGTGGAAGAAAGTAGTACTTTTGATGGGATTGTTCTAACTTGAGCATCATATAAGTAATGTATTAAAACAATAAGAAAAGAAGTTTCACATTTATTTATATTTTAAATAGGGTCAGATGTTAACTTAATATTCATTATAAATGGTCAGTTGTATTAAAACTGTGGCCAAGTTTTTTTGTTCATGAAACTAAGACACTAATATTTGAGTGGATGCAAGTGAGCCACAGTGCAAACATATTCATATTGTTTGGTTTAGTGGGATGTGGGCTGTAAAGGATTTCCCTGCATTCACCTGTGTTCATTCGGTTGTGTCCTCTCCCTGCTCTTTAACTACATTTGAACGTTTCGTTTTAATTATGTGTTCAGGAAATGTATTCGTTCTACCGAACGGAGACCACCCTGGGTAGCAATCATAATTTGGAACACTGAGTAACCACACGAAAAACCGCAACTTAATTGAGTGCTTCTAGGTGGCCGCCATTCGGCATACAAACACGTGGCGAGAACAAAGGATGGCGGCCATCTTAAATCTCCCGAATGCGGTCAGCGGGACTTACTCGTGGATGGCCTGGAACTGTTTTCGGCATGGCAATCACACGAACGTCCAGTCGTTGTGGAAATCCCGTCTGACTTATTTCCACCCATAGTATAAAACCGGCGTTCGGGAGTTTTAATCTACCGAACAAGGGGAGCACTCTCATGTAACCGGCTGCAACATACCTATGGCAGTTTTCCTGTAATTCTGCGCGAATGGAGACCGGCTCTTGCTATTGATTTCATGGAACTCTAAATCGGATAGCACCACATGGCGAGCCAGTCAGACTTCTACACGATGCGACACGGAAACTACCGAACAGATTTTCGTGAAATTTGGATGTGTGACTCCCAGTATACTCAGCTATCCAGGGATGTGGTTTATATATTTCTATGTTATGCAGAAAGTATTTTTCTAAAAATGTTGAAAATTGTAATGTTTCTGGCCAGCAGATAATTGAGTTTAGTATGTTGCTGAAACTCAATTATCTAGCCTGGCCCAGAGGAGGAGTCTGTTACTGTATAAATTGAATGCCTGTTGCTTCCAGTAAATCAGTCTTGTTCCAGCATTAAGCTTTGGCTCATGTGTGGATTATTTGGCGATACCAGCGATTTATTACTTTGTGGATTACTTGTGGATTTTTTTTTTTTATGGGAAGAAGGGAATGCTTGACGGAGTAAAGCATTGTACCGTCACATGGGCATCTTAGAGCAAATAAATATTAAATAGGGCACTAATAAACACTACAGCTCATGTTTCCAAACGCCCTCAGCTTACAGTTGCCAAACAGAGTTTGCTAGCTAATGCGGAAGTTTGCTTCCATATTGGCCAAGCCTCTGCAAGGGAGCCAAGGGTTTAGCAAAACAACTCCAAAATGGTTGAACACCATAGGCGTGCGCACGGGGTGTGCCGGGTGTGCCTGGGCACACCCTAATCCCAGCAGCACGCCTGCGAGTCCTGCAGGAACTCCCACCGTGTTCCCCCTGTCATTGGGGGGGGGGTAGGGGGGTGCCAAGAGGTATACACCCCTACCTCCCCGTCGGGCGCCTGTCGCTATCTCAGCCGAGATGTGACGTCATATTCCGGCTCCCAGTTACAGCAGACAGCCCGCGTGGCGAGAGGAAGCAGAGAGCACACAGCCCCCATGCCGCGGCTGAGATGGCGACAGGCGCCCGGCCCACTGGACCCCAGGGACAAGTCCTCGCCAGCACTCCAGGTAGGGAGGCTGGGTGGACAATTTTAAATTTTTTATTTGTGAGTGTGTGTGTGTGTCTGTGAGTGTGTGTCTGTGAGTGTGTGTCTGTGAGTGTGTGTGTGTGTGTGTGTGTGTGTGTGTGTGTGTGTGTGTGTATATATATATATATATATGTGTGTGTGTGTGTGCACATATATATATATATATATATATATATATACACATACACACACACGAGTGTATATAATTTTTTTTTTGGGGGTGGGAATCTTGAGAGAGTTCCCACCCTTTATTTCCCAGGACTTGACCCCTGCCGGCAGGGGAGATCTCCGGAACTCCCCTGTCGGCTCATGCAGAGCTGGCGCTATCTGAGTGCCGGCTCTGCTCTAAGCCTCCATGGGCCCGCGGGAAGATCAAAGATCTATCTCACCGGCCCACAGCAGCATGGAGGGAGGCAGGAGAGGACCCTAACACAAACAGCACGCACACATACAGCACCCTTACAAACACACACAGCACACAAACAGCGCCCTCACACAAATACAAGACACAAACAGCGCCCTCACACAAATACAAGACACAAACAGCGCCCTCACACACACAGCATCCTCGCACAGCACACTAACAGGACCCTCACACACAGCACACTAACAGCACCCTCACCCACATAGCACACTACCAGCACCCTCACACACACACACAGCACCCTGACACAGCGCACTAACAGCACACACACACAAACAGTGTGTGTATGTATATTTGTGTGTGTGTGTGTGTGTGTGTATATACCGTATTTTTCGCTCCATAAGACGCACTTTTTCCCCCCTCAAAAGTGAGGGGAAATGTCTGTGCATCTTATGGAGCGAATGTGAAGAATTACTTACCTGTCTTGGAGCGTGGGCCGGCTTCACAGCGCGCTCCGCGGTCCAGGAACTTCTATTTCAGCCGCGGTCCAGGAACTTCTATTTCAGATTCCGGTTTCCGGCGGGACTGAAAGGAACCGCTGGTAGTGTGCTATGTGGGGGAGGGGGAGGAGACACTATGGGACAAGGGGAGGGGGAGGAG